GTTTGCTCAGAGAAAACCTGATTTACCAGGAGCGCACTGCTGTCCGCATCGCAGTAAGCGCTTTCATTGTGCAAAGATCGTGTTCTCCCTGGTCTGGCCGAGGTTGAGTGTTTGTTACATCAAGGTTTTTGCGCACTACGCATTTTCCACTATGGAAGCTTCCATACCTTTTTTTATATTTATTCAAGTAAGTTCATCGCTCTAGCTATGAAACAGGACGTGTTCGCTCGTAATTCATATGTTTCTCCTTTTCTTCCAACATTGGAGCACAAGTGCAAAATCCTTAGGAAAAGATAGTGTGAAAAGTAACTCAAGAATGATAAGACAACCGAAAATATGTGGAGATAGCAAGTTTTTTTTTCTTACGAATTTCGCCCCTTATTCATTATACCTCTCTACGGCAATGCAGTTATGGGTTCCAAGGCTGAAAACGGTACATAAGAGTGCATAAAAATTTCGACATGGCGGATCAGTAGTCTCTTGCTGATACACTACTGATTAATCCTTATTGTATGTCTCAGGGGGACAGGGAAAGTAGAGGCAGTCTTCCCTGTGGTTTTCACCTAGTCTCTTCTGGTGACCACATTTTTAGGCATACAAATAATAAATAAATAATATGAAGTAATGGTGGTCGGGTTGTGGTGTGGGATCATGGCAGGACGGCAAGTCATACGGTACGGCATCGTCTTGCTGAAAGATCACTTTTCACGCGGGAAGGTCTCGATCGGGCGGGACGTACCGTATAAAACTCTCAGTGCTGAGTCTTTTTCCACATTCGTTTTCTACTTTGTCTCTTCAACTCCAGTTGCACCCCCTCGACTTCCTAGAGTCCCAAGGGATTCCAGCCCGGACCCTTTTTCATTTTCTCTAACTGTTAATTCATTGTGTTGCTTAATAAATTGTTGTCGTTCGCGGCTTGTCACCTGGCACGATCCTGGGAGACACCAGGATATCGTTCACTCTTCAGCATTCAGAATAGGACATAGCCGCCTGGAATGCGCTCTGCACTCGACATGGGGGCCAAGCAGCCCAGGGCAGGCACGGAAGACGATGACATGGACGACATCGATGGAGAACCGGTTGGCAGCTCTACCGATATTAGAGAACAAAAAGAAACACCGCTCCTAGTTGAAGTGACTGCGATCACAAAATCTTGCAACGAATCTTTGAGTCGTCACTTCAAGAGGCTGTCAGAGGCTAAAGATGAGCCATTTTGAGCTCTGTAGAAGCGGCCGCGGCAGCCACAACGGATGAGTCTCTTAACGGGGACCTCAGAGTTTTTGGTCGAGAGTGGACTGTCGGTCCCTCAACTGCGATAATCTTGACTGATGCGGGGCGTAACCTAGGCCTGATCAAAAGCTTGTCTAGCGAGATGTAATGTGGGCAAGCTAACCTCTTGAATGCAGTGGTTCAACTGAAGGATGAAAGAGATCAACTGATGTCTAAACTAAACACATTGCAGGAGCAGTATGGTGACGCAGGTCGAGGGGAAGGGAGGATCAACCCAGCGATAATAAGCAAGGCGAGGCTTATTCATGGCGAAGGCTGGGTGAACGGTTAGCATCCATCAAACGCCAAGATGAGCAAACTTTACAGAGCAGGAACGATCCGCGTCAAGATTGGCCACTGAGGAACGCTGGACTACGGAAGCACCGGAGGCGGGTCTCACAAGGCGAATCAGAAGATGGTGCGACAGGATCTTCACAATGCGAGATGATGAGTGAGTCGCAAATCTATTCATGTAAGAGATAAGACCCGTCGCCGAATCCGAATCCGTCGTCCGAGGTGTGGGAGGTTGTCAAAGTAATGTTGAAAGCGCAGGCGGCTGTGAATGTAGAAAAATATACAGGAAGAAATTCTCTCACTGACCTTCTAAGGGTATTTGAGATTAAATACCCACGACAATCCTGGAGTAATCGGGAACGGCGCGATATATTGGTAACACTACTGGATGGTCCGGCTAAGCTAATGTACAGCAATTTACGCAAAGGGGTAAAGGAAGGATCGTTCGAGGATGTAGTGAAGGCGCTAGAAAAGTCCAGACGGGACCCATGCAAGGAACTTAAAAAGGTAGAGGAGTGGGGTAAGCTCCATAAAAAGGACAATGAAACGGTGGAGGACTTTTGCTATAAAATGGAAAGGATTTCAAAGGAAGTCCATAGTGACAGTGACCGAGATTTTCTTTTGGGCTCTAAACTACAGGCTTGTCTATCAGAGTGGGAGGAGTCCTACCACCTATTAGCTGCCCTGGAAGCACCCTATGTGTTGGTGTACCAGTCAGCGCGTAAGGCGGCGTTGAGGCTCGAGCGAACACGCGACGCGATGAGAAAAAATCCCGGTCACAAGGGGCTCAATGGTGGGACCGAGCCACCGCACCAGCTATAAAGCTCATGATAAATATGACAGTGAGGAAACTGGACCGTTCACGATAATTTAGGGGTATCCGGTATTTCACAGATAGTGATAGGTAAGGCCTACATTAGGACAATGGTAAAACATAAAACGTGAAAAACAGCGAAAAAAATAAAAAACGGTCAAAAGAAAGAAAAAAGGGGTTGGACGAGTTTCATAATGGAAAAACGGCGGTTAAGGGAATTTTCAGGCGAATAGACGAATGCGACGTAATGTCTGCCATTGCACACAACTCGCTCAAACGGCTGATTTTGGCTTCGTTAATATTATTTATTCTACTGACGATATTACGATTTTGAGATTATTGTGCCTGATCCTTTTGTTGACGGCTGAGAATAATTTACTAGAACGGAATAGAGCAGAACATTAGTCGAATAGTAGAAATACAGCCAAATACTTGTACCAAAAGGAGGTGGTCGACCTGCTGACGGTCTCTGGCAAATTGCCAACCAGCTTATCGATTTTTCACCAACTTCGCTCCAATGCGAAAGTGGCGAACGGCAATTAGATTCCGTAGTCAGCCTAGCGAAGGGCGGAGGGCGACCGTGGCTCACTCTCCGGCCCCTTATTGTGCCCTATCCAGACCGTTTTCCGACCTCATTCCTGCACAATTGGTATCAGAGGGGGCGTCGAATACAAACCATGTGCAAATCTCCGAAACCATTTTTTCGTGAACTGTGCCTTTGAGCAACAGTTTTCGAGGGTGTTGCCCCAGAGAAAATGGAATAATTAAGAGGGTAAACGGAACCATTATTCACATGTTGAAGAAGAAAACAGTAGTGCCAGCAGAATGGGATGTTATTCTCCCTACTGTCGTTTATGCCTACAATGCATGCCCGAATGAGGCAACCGAAGAAGTCCTTATTTTCTCCTCTATGGGCAGAACCCTAAGTATCCATCACAAGTCATACCTAGAGAGTACCTTTCAGCCTGTACGGTGGACTACGATCACTATAAAACCGAGTTTTTATCAGGGTTGAAGCTTGCGCGGGAATCATTACTCCAACTCAGAGGAATACCGTAAGAAGATGAAGGAGCAGTACGACAGAAGGTCCAGAACTCATAAGGTGGTACCTATCAAGGAAGGAGATCGTGTCTACGTAGAAATCCCATCTGAGAAAGGAAAGGTATCCCACCCAAAATTGACCATTGATTGGTCGGGGCCGTATAGAGTAATTGAGAGTGGCGCAAACTCTGCCCTAGTGTCTTTGATAGGCCAAAACAAGGAACCAGTAAGAGTACAGTGGGATCATCTGATAAAAATACCACTCATGATTGACGATACTCCCCTCGGAACGAAAGGATTCCGCGGTCGACGTGGTCGAAGAAGCAAGTTGACGTCTAATCGCTGCAATATGATTCGCAATCAGTTTATTTTCAGCGAGCCTTCGATCACGAAGATGAACCCGCTACACGTTGATTTTATTTGCCCAGGTGGACTCTCAATCGACGGACAACAGCTTCCTTGTTCCACGAATATGACGTGGCATGAGATATCAGGGATGCGGTGTTCCCCAATAGATGGCCTCACATTTGACTGCGTGTTCAAGCTCGCTCGCGTGGCCACAATCATGTCGCGAACACATATCTTCGGAGGTGCAAACGGCCCGTATCTTGGACACGACGTATCTTGGAATACGATACCTTATCGAAAAGTGGACTCGGATTCACCACTTCGTTCTTCTCGGCGAAATGTCTGCAAGTGATGCAGAGCATGCAGACGAGATACGCTACAGAGCACCAAATCTGTGTGACACACCCAAGTCGCTTTCCTGGCGATCCATATGACTTACCGAGCCTTTTTGACTATGCGTGTAATTGGGCTCGTGCACATCCTTGGACTAAAACCTTATGGAAAGAGCTGCCTCCCAAAAAGACGCTGGTACTGTTACCGTGCGATTTCAAGGAACACATACATATACTCAATTCAGTCGCACTGTCAGCTCGTAGGAGTATATGCTAAACCGGATGATGTGAAGGATACATGGTGTCAGGACGAGTTTTCCGCTGTAGTGTTGTTCAGTGCTTCCAAAGCGTACGCCACTGCAGCATGGGCCCAGGCCTGGCAGCTTATGCTGGGTATGGTCTCAGTTGGCGTAGAGCTCGTTCTGGGGATCCCCGAGACAAAGCTCAATGGCCAAAAGCTACGAACGAATTGAGGGACATATGTGAGGAAACGATTGCACAACGTCCTAAACTGGGTGCACGAATCAAATGTCTACCTATAACAAAAGCCGAAGGGAATTCTTCTCATAACCCCTGCAATATCGTGGTGAACAATTCTGGATCACATCCACATACATACTCGGCGAGCGAAGTGAAAGCGTTCTATGAGGTCGCTCGCAAATTTTATCATGCTCACTTGAGGTTGACTCCGTATTATAGCATACGGACAAAGGCGGAAAGTCGAACCAAGATTGACCGCTCTACATGGACACGCAATGCGTGTGAGGAGTCACATGCGAAAAAAGTAAAGCCTTCACATTGGAGCTATAGAAGAGAAAACCGTTTCAAACCAGCAAAACGTCGCTGCGTCAGTCACCCTACCGTAACTCACGGAGAGAGCTTCAAATGTAATTGTCAACGCTACCACAACAGAAACTTCGACGGGCAAAAGAATGGTCCATCGAAGAGATATAATCCCAGAGGCTGAGTGAAGCAGCCTATGTAGCGAGGGGAGGCATGTGAGATCATGGCAGGACGGCAAGTCATACGGTACGGCATCGACTTGCTGGAAGATCACCTTTCACGCGGGAAGGTCTTGATCGGGCGGGACGTACCGTATAAAAGGCTAACCCCCTGTGCTTAGTCGTCTTCTACATTCGTTTCATTCTTTTCATTTCCCAGTTGCACCCCCTCGACTTCCTAGGGTTCCAAGGAATTCTAGCCCTGACCCTTTTTCATTTTCCTCTAACTGTTAATTCGCTGTGTTGCTTACTAAATTGTAGTCGTTCGCGGCTTGTCACCTAGCAAGACCCTGGGAGACGCCAGGATATCATTCACTGTTCAGCATTCAGAATAGGACATAGCCGCCTAGAATGCGCTCTACACTCGACAATGCCTAAAAATGTGTTTACCAGAAGAGACGAGGTCAAAACCACAGGGAAGACTGTCCTCTACTTTCCCTGTCCCCCTGACCTCGTCTCTTCTAACAATCACCATCTTTTTCGATTTCCTTGAATTTGGACTGTGCGGTCTTTGCTACGTGAGGCCAAGTGTAATCACGAGAAGACGGACGGAAACCTATTCCGGTCGCAGTTTCCACTTGCCTGAACAAGCTCTTGGCGCTGTAGACGGTAGCCGCGATTGCTTAGTCTTGAGAAAGCAACACGCGGTATAGCATCCTCTCCAGACCTACAGAAGCACACCAAAACTCTGTCTCGGATGCTGTTCTGACATAGGCTGCACTGGTGGAATGACTGCTTTCGAGAAACAGACAGTGACATTCTTGTCGTCATGGAAAATCCAGCACTCATGAACCGTAACCAGATCCTGCCGAAGATGCTTGCGATTGAGAATGAAGGAGGAGCGACTGGCTGATTGAGACAAGCGTGTGACGGCGTCGTCGGTTAGCTGGTGTGGAAGCATTAGCAACAGCTTCCCTGTAACCGTGATCCTAGAGACGTTGATCGACGAGCAAACGACTACCAGGTAAGAGTTTCAACTTCCCATGCAATTCTGAACGAAGACCTATGTATATCGGTAGAGTTAAAGGTGCCGTCCACAAAAATAGAAGGTGGAACAGCTGAATGAATTTCTCAATTAAGTTATGAGTTCTAAAAATCTTGTTGGAGATAGTTTTGCTTGAAGCGCGCAGATATAGGGTGATTATCCCCAAGAAGTTTCAGCAAGTAGTGCTGAAAATGTTGCATAATAGCCACTATGCCACTATGGTAGGAATAGGATGATTAGCTTGGCGAGAACTAAGATATGCTTCCCAGGCATGGATAAAGCGGTGGAGGAGGTGGCTAAGAATTGCAGCACATGCGCAGTAATGGGTAGGGATCCAGCAAAGATACCCTCACGTCCATGGAAAGGGCCAGAGAAAGTATGGCAAAAGCTGCACATTGATTTTTGTGAGACAGCGGGGGAGTTAAGTGGCTGGTGGTGGTAGACGCTAAGTCGAAATGGCCAGAGGTGATTAAGATGCGAACCACCACAGCCAAAACAATACTAAAGCTGAAGGAAATTTCCAGCAAACGTGGGTTGCCCGGTTTCGGACAATGGTCCTCCTTTCACGTCGGCGGAGTTTCGTGCCTATTGTGAGAGAGGGGGCATTGAATAGATATTCACACCGCCATACCACCCCAATTCGAATGGCGAAGCAGAACGTTTTATGCAAACGTTCAAAAATGCGCTGAATAAAGGGATACGTTCCAATAAGACGGTGGAAGATGCCTTACCGGACTTGTTATTCGAGGATAGGGTAACGCCCCATGTAGCGACTGGGAAAGCACCAGCGGAAATGCTAAGGGGAAGAATCCTAAGGACTACTCTAGATATAATAAGATCGAGAAATAACGCTTTGCTCCCGAACAGATATCGTGCAGGGATGAAAAAGAATTCTGATGTTGGAAAAAAAGAACGGCGATTCAGCGTGGGGCAAGAAGTTTTTATAAGAAATTACACCGGCTCGGGTGATCGGTGGATATCCGGTATTGTAGTCAAAATCTTGGGAACAACATGTACGAGGTCCGCCACGGCATGGGGTTGAGAAAAACCCATGCTGATCAGATGAAGGAAAGGGTTATCCCATGGGAATTGGCAGATTAGGAGCTACTGAGGAGAATGGAAAAGAGGACCTCCAAAAGGAACAGTGAGCCTACCGAAGAGCCGCTGCCGCGGCGGTCGAAGAGGAAGCGGCAAGAAACCGCTAGAATGACTGAGTTCCGTGAATGTGAAAAGCGCAGGAAGATTAGTTGGATAGGGTTATCAGAAACGGAAAATGTAAACAAAAGCAGTAGATGTGGCGTGAGGCCTATAAAAGAAGCTGGAAGGGGTAGGCAACTCAGTTATGTTCTCATGGCCTGGACAGCAGCAGCAGCAGCAGCCGGCGGTGCTCATCGGGGGGGGGGGGGGGGGGNGGGGGCCAGCGGGGCCCGCAGCCGAGCCCCCAGTGGTATTGGTCCCGGTAGGGACTGGGTGGCGGGGCCGTCGCCATCGGCGCCAGCAATATGGTGCCGGTTGCATGGGCCCCGCCAGGGAGGCGGGCAAGACCGCGTCGCCGAGCACAGAGGCGCGATCGCGCACTGTGGTCGGCGACGGTTTTCCCTGTTCCAGTGACCTCGTCTCTTCTGGTAATCACATTTTTAGGCATATAAATAAATAAATAATATAAAGTAATGGTGGTTATATAGTTCAATGAATTGGAGTTTGAATAGCTTTGTGGATGAATTTGAAACGTGTCTTTGAGTGTTTCACGGCTTGCATCAACTTAATACATATTTTTTCTCCTAGGTAGGAACTACAGTTCATTACCGATTTTTGGCAATGGATAGCAACAAGCCTACTGGATAGAGCTTCGGCAAAAATTTATAGAAGAGATTGGGCGGGAGACATATACAGAGGGTAATGGGCGAGCGAAGATGAGCTAAAGATGTTTTTTGGAACTTGTTATTAAAGCCGCTTCCGTAAAGCAGTCTCTCAATCCCAAATAAAGGGTGCTGGGTATTCCTGTTTGAATCGAACCTTCGTGCAAGGGATCTCAAAAGCCTTTCGAAATCAGTGTCTGCTTATTCCCTCACCCCTTCCCTCCCCCCCCCCCCCCCCCCCCCATTCCACTTCGCCGTCTTCTATCTTGTAAATAGCAAGTAATCAGCCAGCCACTGTAGCTCGATCAAAGTTTCAACACTCGACATCTCCGGAGAAAGTCTGGCTTTACGTTTCATCGGGTTGATGTACGAGTTTTCAATCATTTTTCTCATTTTGCATGTTCAGTAAGAATGAAAACCGTTCAAATTTAGGTGCACCAGGAGAAAAAGGAAGCTTTTGATATGCTGCGCAATTTCGACAAAACAATTGATCAGCTCAAGCGGGTTGGTTTTACATCTCATTCTCACATCGCCTTTCAATTATTCAAAAACGTTGTACTTTTCCTACAGATCCGTGTGCCTGGAAATCTTCTTTCTTGTTCTCGTGGTAGCGCCGAATCATCTGTTGTTTCTGACACTTCTTTATACGCTTGGATTGCTGCCTCCGATCCGGAACATTCTCTGAAAGAACTCGTCGATCAAGTAACAGAGCAGCTTGTAAATGTGTGGCCTTTTCTCCGATGACCTTTGAGAAGTGTTCACTTTCTTTCCTTTCAATTAGAAATATTTCCTTGCCTAACTTTCGTAGATTCGGACTTTGAGCCATACATGTTTTTGCAAAGTGATCCAGTTCCAGTTCCAACAGACGAACACGAAGTCGGCTCTGCAAAACATTGAAAAAGTGATGGAAATGTCAAAAAATATCAATTGCCGTGAGATAAAAGGAATGAATATGAGACTCAGCTATCTGGAACAACATCTGCAGTATGCTGAAGGTGCATTGCATATTTTTGTACATTTGTGCAGCAGTTATGATAACTTTACAGATCGGGGTAACTTTGTAGAGAAGCATACGTCCGAAATTCTGAATACATCATCTCGGGTCGACCAATCTTCACTTGAGGTATGTTCTGTTATAACGAGTAAAAAATCTGTTAGGATAATTTGTTGAGAATGAGGACAGGAAAATACCCACAATGACACAGATATGCAGTATTTCTACTTCTTCACTTCTCATACGGTTTCTCAAACACGCGTAAATTTTCGCTGATAAGATAGGTTTAACACGTTGAAGGCAATGTAGTCCACATGTGAATGGAACTTCTTCGGCCGGGTAAGAGCATGTAGTCAACGTTGAGCTGCGGTTTTTCGTTTTTTTTATTAAGGTTTCCATTTTTTGGATTTTTCCTCTTTTCTCCAATCATTACACAAGACTAAAAAGGAACGGCATACTGCATTGTCCCAGGCAACCTTTTGTTCCTGAAATATAAGTTTGATACGATACCTGTGCCTCTTCATAGGAATATACTGCTCGGAGTGGATTCTTCCTCGAAAAGGATAAAGTGGCTGGCTCATAGATGCGGACGTTCTTGCCGACCTTATAACGCTTCATGCATTTTCCATTGAGAAACTTCGAAAATGAGATGTTTCAAAAAGACGATCACTTTAGAGCAAAGATGGTAAAGAATCCTTGGAACGATTCCTTGCAGTAATCGAACTTATGATTAAATGATAACCAAGTGCCACGGTCAAAAAATAAAAATCCGCAAGTGGACTCAAAAAATGGTTACGTTGAACCCTGTAAATGTACATGTGGGCTGCAGTTGCGCACAGAAAAAAAGCATCGGTACCTCGCGATTCTTTTCTCCCACAGCGCGATTGTCGTCAATGATTGGAGATTCCCGATTCTTTTCTAGGGATTTGTTTCATCAAATGCAAGGTTTTGACACGTCGATTTCGAGCTGGATATTGTTGTCTGCACCATGATTTCTCTTCATTTGGTTTATCCACATGCATAAGATGAACCGTATGTCCTAATGACCTTTAGTATTGCTAGGTTGAGAACCCGTACTATATGAAACGCGCTCGCGCCTGTCCCCTTGTTTGCATGTCTGTCTGTCTGTCAGTCTGTCAGTCTGTCTGTCAGTCAGTCTGTCTGTCTGTCTGTCTGTCTGTCTGTCTCATGAAATTTGATATTACCTTAAAAAGCCTGGAGAAGTCAGGTCACATTGCAGTAGGTTGGCCACAGGGTAAGTTCAACACAAGGCATGTGGGCTCAGCAGAGCTCTGCCTACAGCGGGCGAGACATGCAGCAGAGTGCAAGCAGTGACTTGGTGTGTCGGTTTGTCTTTATGTCGGTATTTCGGTTTCTATGTTTGTCGGTTTGTGTGTCTGTCCTTCCGAGAAATTTATGATTACGATAAACGTAGTGATATGGATGACCCAGCTCATCCCACATTTCCTTCTTTATGTTTATAAAGCACTTAATTGGTAGGTAGGTAGGTTAATGGAGTAGAGTGAGTGCTGCGAAATGAAGTGAGTGATGTGGAGTGAAGTAGGGCTCCAACGCTAGGATTTCGATCTGTACTGGCGTCTGCTGTGTATGTCAATACAAAAATCGTTATGGTAGTAGAGACCTCGGCTTTTTTTCAACATTGAGCAGCGCTATAGCGCAGATAAGGAGGCTAACTCATAAATGCGCTGAGGAACTTTTTTCAATCGAAAGCATATACTTTTTTGACCTGAGTTTCAGGAGGAAAGGAGCATCGAAGTGAGTTAACTGAACGCTCAACTTATACCCCATCCTAGCTTTTGGCTCGAGGTAATCATCTCACTTCCACCGCCGCGCTCCTCCCCTCCTGATGCCTGGGTAAAAAACTATATCTTTCTCGCTTAGAACCGGTTCGAAGCACAAGTATGTCGGTACCTTCTTTACTCAAATACATAACTCTCAGTGAAAGCATGGAGGACAAAAAATCAACAGAATGAGCAAGGTCTGATTAGAGATGAGCATCGAAGAACTCACCAAAGCTCCGCCCATGATGAGCCGGGCTAGCTTACGAGTGGAGGACGCTTTTCGAAAAATAACTCATTCTGCTCAATGTGGCCAAATAGTTAAAGTGGGATGGGCCAACGAAGGAAGGATACTTGGTCGCAGTGGCCGTTCCAATGGAGATGTATACGAGCACGCAAGCTGTTCTGGAATCTTCGTTTCAAAAGTGCCAATCTGTTGCTAATGTGATTTTGGGAACAAACTTACGGAACCGACTTCCGAATCCCACTTGTATTATATCACTGCATCTAACAGGTTACTGAAATGAGCAAGTACGTCGCTGGCAACGATGGAAGGGTGTTGGGCCTGTATTTGCAACGAGGAGGTTCGGATGCTTGATGAATGCACTCGTATTGCTTTTTATGAAAGCGTTCAAAACGCTTGTAACGTTTTTACGCTTATAATGGGCTGTCTACGGTGCTCCCTCACATTTCAGGAGCACTAAAGTATGTTTTGGATTTTTTTGCACCACGCTGGCCGGATCAAAGTGCTCAACCCTAGCATAGGGAAAGGGCAAAACCTTGGCTCAAAATGGGCTTTGAACGCTCCGGGAAGAAAGATGTTGAAGGAATCATCGGATCGAAACGCTCTTCAACACGTTACCAGCGAAATCTTCTGCCCGAAGGTGGTGTCATCGTATTTGTTGGAAAATTCTGTCGCTGCGACACAGCGTGTACACAATCTAGGGAGAAACGGAAGGTAATAGTGAACTTTCCTACCATACCACTAGATGCAATATGAACATCCTCGTGTTCGACTACGAGAAAAAGAGCCATTGAAAGGCTATCACAATGAAGCTTTGCGATCCCTTATGGTAACAACGGTCGATAATAGCGCGAGAAGAACCTTGTAGCTTTTTAATGTGTGAAGAATGCAAAGGGAAACGTAGTTCAATTTTGTGATGTGACCATGAGCTTCAATTATATAGCGCTGGCAGAAAAGTACGTGATCTTTCATAGTTCGAGTGTCACAAGAAGCCCACTTCTGCATGAAAAACAAGATTTTTCCATTAATAGAGTGCTATCTACGGAACTCAGGGGTAAATCTTCGTTAGGTCTCCCTAGTACCACGTGCTTGCTCCCGTGAAATGTCAGATGTGGTGTTCTGTTTCTGGGACCTAACCAGTAACTCGGAAGTTTCGTCGGTAAAAATCCGGCAGTTGACGTCAGAACCAATGTTTGAAAAACGTGGGCGGCTGGAAAGGGAATGTGAAGCACATTTCTTTCTCGTTCTGCCACCTTGGAGCCGTAATCGCACCTAGCCTTATAACGGAGTCGATCTTGAGGTAGCCTTATAACGAAGTCGATCTTGAGGTTCGTGCAGACTGCACATTACTTTTCACATTGCAACTGTAGAAATGGACTGCGAAGGTGAAGAGCTAGGCCCATTTCTGAGATCGATCGAGCGCAGTCAGGTAGAGGGAAGCCTCCCAACACAGTGACTCGGGATTTGGCTAGTCTTCGCTGACTAGTCGTGTTGGTCTCATGATTTTTGGAAACCGTTCAGCCTTAGTGCGCTGTGACCCCCCTTTTAAATCAGATGTTGAACTGCAAAGGTCATCGAACTTCTTTTGTAAGACCGCTTTGACTCTAGATCGGATAGAATTACAAATTGGATTTGATCCACTCACTATTCTCTTCAAAAGATGCTCCTCCAGTATTGGGTACAAAATTGTTTCTCCGAAACACATTTGTTTAAGAAAGAAAACATGTTCTCACGCTTCGTCCACAGTGAAATTCGGAGCAGTCTCATTTCAATTTCCAACCCTCTGTAGTCACACCGTTGACCTCATTCTGCTCAATGTGGCCAAATGGTCAAAGTGGGATGGGCCAGCAGAGGAAGGATACTTGGTCGCACTGGCCGTTCCAATAGAGATGTATACGAGCACGACCAGTCAGAAATTGTTGTGATTCTATCAGGCTCTGAAGAAGGCGACTCCGCCGAAACGTCAGCCTGAGAAAGCTTCTTTACGAACCTCGTGAAGAGTTCAATAAAATTATGAACACAATATAAAGCGGTAACTTTGTGTGTCTGTCTGTATGTCAGTTCGAGCGCCGTCCGAACGTCACGTAGGCACGGTGAGGATTGCAAAAGTCACGTGGGCGCATGTTGACATGGGTGAGGGACATGTTAAGAAATAGGAAGTCCATTGATGATGTACTGATCTCACCAACCAAGACGGAATATGAAATGATGTTTTGCACGCGTTAGCGTGCGCAACTCAACTAGTGATCCAAATTGTGGCACGTATCCTGAAACTTGTTACTGGATTGAGCGTTTCTTGGTTTTGAGCGAAAACTGCGATGCTATTGTAGTTCGATAAGTGCGAAGTGGCGGTAATTGAGAACCCCGAGGAAATTCAGGGACATTGAATTGGATGAAGGTTTACAAAGGCTAGCCATCGTAGAAAGAAATCAAAGCAAACATTCGTATTCTTTGTTAGGTTTGGTTGCTTTGAGAGTGGAAATATTATGAACTGTCGCTTTTGTTAGAAAATGATTGGTTCAAGGGCTAACCTTGGGTGATATCGAGGATGGTCGCCTAATCTTCTCGTTACGATTCGGCGTATATTTCGAATAGTCGATACCTTGCCACCAACACAATAACACGATAAAATGTCACCAGTTTGCTGCACCGGAGGAACGTGAACGTCAAACTTGGGTGACAAAACCAATAAAGGAGCATTCTTTGCTTGAGAGATATAAATCATCAAACATGAAGTGAGATGTCTGTACAGTGCGATGATCCAGTGTCTGGCTCGGGCGCTTATATGCAGACTTTGCAGCTGGTGTTTTTCTCCCACAGCCGAAGGAAAAGCCCAGCTGGACGGTCCTCTCCTACGTTCTTCCGATCCCATTAGAGCCTCTTCTGTGTTAAAGAAGATTATAGCTGTTTCATGATAAGAGTGATATCAGATACATATATGTATATAAATACGGTTTTTTCTCGCCTCACCCAAATCTCAGCGACTCGCGGATTGCCGCGATATTCCCGGCCCCATCATGCTTGTCTGTATGAGGTGATACATCCACTCCTCGCCTCTCTAGATTGATCGCGGCTGTGGGCGCGGCTCTAATAAATCCAGCTCGTCTTCGATAGGTGCACTCGTTTCCGGAAGG